AGGCATGCATACTTTTCAGTCCTATACACACTCTTTCCAAGGCAATGAAGCACATTCTGACTTTCTTACTCTAGAGGAGGCACTCAGCTGCAGGCAGGCACACATGATTTCTGGGCCCGTATGCCACTCACACAAACTTTCCAAGGCAAGGAGACAAAGTCTGTTTCTTACTCTAGAGGAGGCGCTCGAGTGCAGGCAGGCACACACATTTTCTGGGCCTGCATGTCACACACACACTCACACTTTCCAAGGCAAGGGGGCACATTCTGACTTTCTTACTCTAGAGGAGGCACTCGGCTACAGGCAGGCACACACACTTTCTGGGCCTGCATGATACACACACTCTCTTTCCAAGGCACACACTCTCTTTCCAAGGCAAGGAGGCAAGTTCTGTTTACTCTGGAGGAGGTTCTCAGCAGCAGGCATGCGTGCATGTTTTCTCGCCTGCACACCACACATACTCTTTCCAAGGCAAGGAGGAAAGTTCTGACTTTCTTACTCTGGAAGAGGCACTCAACTGCAGGAAGGCATGCATACTTTCCGGTCCTACGCTCACTCTTTCCAAGGCAATGAAGCACATTCTGACTTTCTTACTCTAAAGGAGGCACTCAGCTGCAGGCAGGCACACATGATTTCTGGGCCCGCATGCCACTCACACACACTTTCCAAGGCAAGGAGACAAAGTCTGTTTCTTACTCTAGAGGAGGCGCTCGAGTGCAGGCAGGCACACACATTTTCTGGGCCTGCATGTCACACACACACTCACACTTTCCAAGGCAAGGGGGCACATTCTGACTTTCTTACTCTAGAGGAGGCACTCGGCTACAGGCAGGCATACACACTTTCTGGGCCTGCATGATACACACACTCTCTTTCCAAGGCACACACTCTCTTTCCAAGGCAAGGAGGCAAGTTCTGTTTCTTACTCTGGAGGAGGTTCTCAGCGGCAGGCATGCGTGCATGTTTTCTCGCCTGCACACCACACATACTCTTTCCAAGGCAAGGAGGAAAGTTCTGACTTTCTTACTCTAGAAGAGGCACTCAACGGCAGGAAGGCATGCGTACTTTCCGGTCCTACGCTCACTCTTTCCAAGGCAATGAAGCACATTCTGACTTTCTTACTCTAGAGGAGGCACTCAGCCGCCGGCAGGCACACATGATTTCTGGGCCCGCATGCCACTCACACACTCTTTCCAAGGCAAGGGGGCACATTCTGACTTTCTTACTCTAGAGGAGGCACTCGGATACAGGCAGGCAAACACACTTTCTGGGCCTGCATGATACACACACTCTCTTTCCAAGGCACACACACACACACTTTCCAAGGCAAGGAAGCAAGTTCTGTTTCTTACTCTGGAGGAGGTTCTCAGCGGCAGGCATGCGTGCATGTTTTCTCGCCTGCACACCACTCATACTCTTTCCAAGGCACTTAGCTGAAGGCAGGAGCACACGCATTCTGGGCCTACACACCACACACACACACTCTTTCCAAGGCAAGGAGGCAAGTTCTGTTTCTTACTCTAGAGGAGGCACTTGGCTGCAGGCAGGAGAGCACACATTTTCTGGGCCTGCATGACACACACACTTTCTTTCCAAGGCAAGGAGGCAAGTTCTGTTTCTTACTCTAGAGGAGGCGCTCAGCTGCAGGCAGGAGTGCACGCATTCTAGGCCTGCACGCCACACACACACACTCTTTCCAAGGCAAGGAGGCAAGTTCTGTTTCTTACTCTAGAGGAGGCGCTCGGCTGCAGGCAGGCACACACATTTTCTGGGCCTGCACGCCACACACACACTCCCTTTCAAAGGCAAGGAAGCAAGTTCAGTTTCTTACTCTAGAGGAGGAGCTTGGCTGAAGGCCGGAGCACATGCATTCTGGGCCTGCACGTCACGCACACACTCCCTTTCCAAGGCAAGGAGGCAAGTTCTGTTTCTTACTCTAGAGGAGGCACTTAGCTGAAGGCAGGAGCGCACACATTTTGGGCCTGCACACCGCACACACACTCCCTTTCCAAGGCAAGGATGCAAGTTCTGTTTCTAACCCGAGAGGAGGCACTTGGCTGCAGGCAAGCATGCATTCAGCTTCAGGCAGGAGCGCACGCATCCTGGGCCTGCACGCCACACATACACTCTTTCCAAGGCAAGGAGGCAAGTTCTGTTACTTACTCGAGAGGAGGCACTCGGCTGCAGGCAAGCATTCATACTTTCTGGGCCTGCACACCATGCACACACTCTCTTTCTGAGGCAAGTTCTGTTTCTTACTCTAGAGGAGGCGCTCGGTTGCAGGCAGGAGCACACACATTCTGGGCCTGCATGCCACACACACACTCCCTTTCTAAGGCAAGGAGGCAAGTTTCTTCCTCTAGAGGAAGCGATCGGTTGCAGGCAGGAGCGCACACATTCTGGACCTGCACACCACGCACACACTCTTTCCAAGGCAAGGAGGCAAGTTCTGTTTCTTACTCTAGAGGAGGTGCTCGGTTGCAGGCAGGCGCGCACGCATTTTGGGCCTGCACACCATGCACACATACTCTTTCCAAGGCAAGGA